AGAGGCTAATCCTCGTGTTTGTGCCCTGGTAGCCCAGACAACCGTCTACAGCTGGGGCATCTTTGGTCCCAGACTAAAGTTAGTATGACTTAGTTTAGAGGGTCACAGTCATATCTCTGTACTCTTTGGCTACAACATAAAAGGCATGGAATCTCTGTACTTGGAAGAGTTCTATGTTTCACAGTTCTTTCCAGCATGCTTCTTGTTTTGGTTTTTCTCTCCATAGTTTGTGTTGTCTTTCAGTGATTGAGCCTTGTCCAGCCCCAAAACACAGAAAGGAAAGCTATAGGCAGAGGAGATCATGAGAGGCCAATAGCAATCCTCAAATTATGTACCTTCTAAAAATATAAACCAGGAAAGAGACACCTATATATATTTTTTCTGATACCTTTGTAATCCTCAAATGAAGGTTTTTTAGCAAGCTTGACAAATATTTACCAGGTCAAGCTTATGTAGAATATTTTGTGGCTGTCTTCCCCGCAACTTTCACCTAGTTTTCCTACAGTAGAATTCACCCCTCGGGTCACAATTTCGAATGGCTCTCGTGCATAGCAATAAACACACATTTGCCTTTTAAATTTAAGGGGATTTTAACCTTCTCTCTCAAATTTGCTTTATAGTGAAAAAAATTGACTAATGATCTAGCTTCTAGGAATTTTGCAGTAGGTGATGTTAAAGCAGCTTTATCGAAAAACTATAATTTAGATATATTTACATCCATGGAGCCATTAGAGTTCAAGGTTGGGTGCTGACCTTTGGTGGCTTAGAAACTCATTTATTTTTTCAGGTTGCAGCACTAGAAGAATGTCAGGCTTAGCCAGTTCGCAAGAACCTGATATGGAAACAGAATTAATCAGTGATCAACTTGTAGTGAGAAACCAAGCAGCAAGGAAACTGAAATACCATATGGACACCTGTTTGCTAAGTTTAGAAACACACATACATTTGAAAGTTTTGCTGGATAGTTTTCACAACCCCCAAGGATATCAGCAACTATCAGTGTTTACTGAGTGCCCAGTGTCAGTCATTGATAGCAGCCCTGTAAGGGGACTATTATTGTTCCATATTGTGTTATCAGGGAACTTCTGCTTAGTGACACAGTCAGTGATGCCTAAATTCAAATCCAATTCCTTCAAAACTCTTGTTCCTAGTGCCTGTTCTTTTTTTTTCTTTAATCCTCATCTAAGGATATGCTTTTTTGTCCCTCCAAAGAGATAAAGAGGGGGAGGGGGTGACAGAGGGAGATAAATATTGATATCAGAGAGAAACATGTTATCAGTTGCTTCTCACATACTCCCTGAGCAAGGACCAAACCCATAACCTAGCCATGTGCCCTGACTAGGAATTGAACCTGTGTGTGACCTTTTGGTTTACGGGACAATGCTCCTACCAACTCAGCAACACTGGCCAGGCCCTGAGTTTCTGTTCCTTTTTCTTCCCCCCGCAGCTTCTCAAGTATTTATTCTTTTTCCTGGGTTCACTGCAGTATTTTTCTGCTGACTCTCAGGAGAAGGGACTTGCAGTCCACATCATAGGAGAAGGTGCCACTCTACATTTGAGGGCTGAGGGAACCCTTCGTGGACACAGCAGAATCAAATCGCCAACAGGGATTGTTAGGGTTCTTGTCATTCAGGTTTGCTGAGAAAAGGGGCCCACATTCCAGACTGGGGATCTTGGTCTCTGACAAAGGCGGGAGCAGAGTGGGCCAGAGATGGCAGAGGAGAAACTGGGGAAGGAGGTTTTGGGGAGAGAAGGGAGATGGTAGCTGGCAGGATCCTGGTGCCGACCCACTCCCCATGTGTCAGCAGCCATCCTGCTCAGTGAGTTTCTTTTCTTAATGTGGTTTTACAATATTACTAAAGAGGGTGCCTGGGATATCCAAGGAAGTGCTTCAGAAGCACTGTTAAGTTGGGGACTAAAGGATAAAGTTAGCTTTGCAAAGAAGGTTCCAATATTTCAGTGCTTGAAAAATCATACAGTATGCTGTATATGCCATCCCTAATATGCATTTGTGTGTCTAGTTCTGTATAAATATACGTCTATTATATATGTGTATAGATTAGGAGTTGAGTATATTAGTATAGTGTATGATATATATAAAAAAATAAGTAACACTATTGGATACCAGGCTTTGTATGTGAGACTTTACTCGTATTCACTTGCCAAAACCCCTACAAAGTAGGTATCTTCCCTGTTGGATCCTTAAGGACAACAAGAGAGTAGGTATGATGACTGAGGTTGCACAGCTGCCATCCACATCAGTTCCCCTTCAGAACCCAGGCCCTTCATGGTACCACTTCTTTAGTGGTCTGTGTCAGCTATCTCCAGAAGTCCTTATGACCCCTTACTGGGTAACCCATACTAAACATTTTGCTGTTCATATCCTGGGGATGGTGGACCTTGAACCAGATGGTTTCTTCCTTTAGGGCAGTTGATTAACTTACATACAGCTCTCTTATTTGCGTTCCTGTCTGAAAGCAGGTCTTACCACCTTATTTCTAGAACTAGATGACCCAATATCTCTTCATCATCTCTTTGGAAGTGGCATGTGTGATTATGACATTCCCAGAGTGGGTGAAGTTGCCTGACTTTATCTCCAAGAGGCATCTACCCTCTTCTCTGGTGTTGCTTCTTACTGGTGTTTCTGCCAGTGAACATGTGACCAGGTTTTGACTCCTAATGACGGCTCTTTTAATAGTTATCTTTAGTCTTCTTGTGGAAACAGGTCAAATGAGAGTGAAGGCCTGGGTGCAGACATCCGACATCCACAGATTCGAGAAAACTGTCAGCTATCTCCTGGCTTCCTTGCTTCTTTGGGTAATGACTGACCAATTCCAACTTCTATAATTTTTTTTTAAGATTCTATTTTATTTACTTTTAGAGAGAGGAGAAGGGAGAGAGAGAGAATTTTCATCCTGTTCTAGATGCTGATTTTTTTTCCCATGCATGATTCTCCAAAATGGACGTTAGGCCTCTAAGAAAATTTTTACTACCCTTCTTAATTCTGGAATTTGAGAAAAATAACAGGTTTCAATTTTTGTATAAACTGGAAAAAAAAATCAAGTACAAAGTGCTATTGCTTTCACTGATTTTTAGTTCATATTGTTCAGACCCATTTTGTAGTGGATCACAAAAGCTTACCTATGAGATACCAGCTCGTGGATTTCTTGAAATGTCTACTTTCTACATTTTTGCTACACTGGTCTCTCATCATGTATCTGCAAATAAGTTTACACCTTGTAGTAATTATTTTTAAATCAGGTTGGAAGGTTGATTTTCCTTTCTGGTAGAAAAGAATGAATGATTTGGAACATCCCCTGTGCTCTAATGTAGCAACATATTTAAATAGAGCTTAGAATTTATCTAGTAGCACAGAGCTAACTTGATTTGCAGTAAAGAGCTAAAATAGGATACACTATTAGGTTATCCTGATTTTATTTAAAATATAAGTAATTTTACTAATTTCTGAGTGAGTATGGAAAGCCTTCAGTTGTTTTATGAAGAAAGCTATGTTCTGATTCTGAGTTTTCACTCTTCCCACATGTAAATTTAGAAAACTGGATTTTTCTTTTTATTTCACCAAAAGTGGCATCTGAATAACAAATAAAAACTTTTTTTTTTAGTTCAAAATGAAAAAAGAATAAGGAGTAAGCAAGAAAATCCCTCCCATCCCACCCCCATACTTCAACCTCTTTTATTTTCTACTGAGAGAAAATTCATAATCTGATTTTTGGTTTCATTTATCTCAGTGCCAGTGCTGTGTACTTACTTGGTGGAGCTAGCATCTTCCAAGGTTGTATTCTGACAAGGAGATGGGGCTTAGGGCCTGGCTGTCAGTATGCGCTTGCTTTGAGAGGGAAGATGAGAAAATATATTTCCCTTCTCTTTCATTTACTCTCAAAGCCAGTGGCATAGGAGGTATTTGCTATTTTCAGTAGACCTGTCACTATCTTGGCTTCTCCTTTTTATGGCCTTGCCCTCCATGAATGAGAAAATGAAGAGTGCAAGTGTTTAGCCTGTCAATGGCCAGTTCAGTGGATTATCCACACAAAGCGATTTCTATGTGAGAGGGAACAAGGTACTGAGGAGCATTGCACAGACTGGCCATTCTAGAAATGCCTGCCCCAGGGGCTTCAGGGGTGCCTGTGGGGGAGTACCAGGAGGGGATTGGCAGCAAGATGTGTTTGAGAATTTATTTTCATCAGCTTAAAGTGTACAGTCTACTTTAGCTCACTATAACCAAGAATGAGCTTGATCAAAACCTCATTCTTTGCCAACTTTCTAACCCCAGGAGCACTTAGTGATTGATTGTCCACTGAACTTGACTGATCAGGATGTCATGTGAAACATGAGTGTGAGAGGAAGCTATTCTTATTGATGCCTTTCAGAGAGAAGGAGTTGCCTTCAACAAAGTGAGACACAGATCTATAAAACTGGTTTTACTCATACTGCAAGACTTATTGTAAAGCTCAAGCATGGATATATAGAGTGTCTGATTTCCCATTTTTTACAGACTTTTGCAATTAGTCACCTTTCCTATTTTGGGGCAGCTTTGCCATGTGCATGCTCAGACTTCCAGTCTAGACAAATTTGCTTTCTTTTCTTTTAATGCAGCACCATGAATGGTGAGAGGTAAGTTTTTAATGGTGAATTAATGTTCAGGTCAAATGGAAAATATGAACTCAAAAACTACTTTAAACTCAGATACCTGTTGTTTAGACTTTCTTATAATCAGGAAAGCCAAAGGCAGACCTTTATTTTTCTATATTCAGAGTGTCATAAAATCTCTGAAAGGTCAATTTTTTTTGGCAAATAATTTTATAGTAGTGTTCTACCTGCCTTATGTCAACGTGATTTTAAGGTACTAAAACTATATATGCCTGATATTTTTCCCCCAGGGCACTTTGAGTTCACTTAAGCTCTTATTTTTTTCACAACCTCTGCCTATGGTGATACTTGTTTCAAGCATATCTCTTGTATCTGGTTTTCTTTTTACCTAGGCCTTCTGCTTTATCTAGTAGCCCAACATATTCGGACCTGCCCTTCATTAGGATCTCCCCACACCGGAACCCTGCTGCAGCTTCTGAGTCCCCCTTCAGCCCTCCACATCCCTACATCAACCCTTACATGGACTATATCCGGTCTCTGCACAGCAGCCCATCCCTCTCTATGATCTCTGCAGCCCGGGGGCTGAGTCCCACAGATGGTAAGTCTCAGACCAACCAATTCTGCTTCCACACATCACACCACCTTCTCTGTCTACCTCAGCTGGGACATGGTGTCAAGTAGCTCTGATGTTTATTGTTTCCCATGTGCTAAACACTGTATCAAATGCTTTAAGCGTATGCTTTCATTCCAACATAGGGACATCTCCATGGGGTGCAGTTATAATCTCCATTTTCAGGTAAAGATAGCAGTGTGCAGAGGGGCCAGATAATTTGCATTCTGGTCCATTGGCTAGTAAGTGACAAAGGTAGAACTCAAAGCCATATCTCACTTATGCTAAATCCTTGCTCTTATTCACTGATTTGTTCTGTGAGTTTTAGACTGACTCCATAGCCATTCATACATACAGTGTACGTGTGTGACTGATGCCTTTTGCTCACTGGTTGATTTATACTTATCTGTCCTGCCTGTTTGAGAGGCACATTTCTACAGCTGTGTCATTAGAGTGGTTTTTCTCAAACTCCAGTGTGCATATGGATACATTGATGCGTTAGTAAAATGTGATTTTGTGTGGGGTAGGTCCAGGAGGGGCCTGAGATTTTGCACTTCTGAAAATCTCTCAGATAATGTCAGTGCTGCTGGTTCGTGGTCCACACTCTGAACAGCAAGATCTTAAGAGGACTTGATGGTTCAGACCTGTTGCTGAATGTGCCCTCTATCCTTGATCATGCCAAACAGAAACTAGAAGAGGAAAGTGGTGGGAAAACAAATGAACCTTGGCCTTAACTCTGTAATACCTGATGCTCATTTTAGGCTCTCACGTATCAAATTCTGATTGGTTCTATTAGCCTCCTAATTAATTACTTTTACATGACTCGTTTTAATTGGAGTTGTGTATTCTGCAATTGTCAAGTTCTAAACCATTACTTTGATTCAGGAAGAACATTTCCCACTGCATACACACATATACAGTCTCATTTACCCACAATTGCCAGAACCTGAATTAAGGTCCAGAATTGCATAAGCCTTATTGATTGCAGATAGTAGGTTATGAGTTCTCTGCAGCAGGTCACAAATCACTGATGCTTGTTTCAGAGCACAGAGCAACACCATGCAGTCTATCTCACTGAGCAGTGTTTGAAGTGGCCCTGCACTGACCCCATTCTCAATGTAGACCACTTTCTGAGGTTGGCTGTGCCTGGTGGGAATAGTGTGTGGGAAAGCAGCTTGAGGTTGCTCAGTAAACATCTACTTAGTTGTACTTCCAGGAGTAGCAGTGCATCAGGAACAGCTACCAATTTGTTGAAAGGCACCTAAAGAGAATAAGTTTTGCCATTTGGACAGGATTCACATTTTTTCTTTCAGTTTATTGAGATATAATTGACATAAACACTATATAATTTTAAGGTATATAGCATAATGACTTACATATTTTGTGAAATGATTAGCATAGTAAGTTTAATTATATAGATACAAAAAAGAAAAAAAGTATTTTTCCCCTGTGATGAGAAACTTTAGAATTTACTCTTAGCAACTTTCAAATATACCATATAGCAGTGTTAACTATATTCATCTTGTTGTGCATTCTGTCTCCAGTTCTTATTTATCTTACAGCTGAAAGTTAATAAGATTCACATTTTAAAAATAAAACTGTCAAGAAAGTCATATGCAAGTTAATTCTTCTTCTTGAGATTTGGTTTTAGAATGGGAAGAATGGAGACCCACCTCCATGGAGTACTTTGGAGCTAATGGAAGTAACTAACAAGGAGGACAGAGGGAGAAAGGGATAAGGGTGGTCAGCTAACAATGGACTTGAAATTGTGCCTGGCTTGCTGAAATTTAGTTGATCCACTAGAATGTGAGACCTCTGGTTAAAGCATCTTATCTTCTGCTACCCATAGTATTTCATGATTAGTATAAGACATTTTTTGATCTGTTGTTGTACCTTCATCCTCTTGCCTCAAGAGGCCAATAATAACCCATCGAATAAAGTTAAGTCCCTAATATTACTGTCTTGTGGTCTAAGAGTTTTTAATATACATCTCTGTCTTCGTAATGTATAAAAATTCTGTGGGCACACAAGTAAAACACAAAGTTATTGCTAGAATGCCAGCTTTTCTACATAGTTAATGGCAAAACTAACTTTTATTGATGGAATGCTATGGTCTATTAAGCACTTTAAATGCATCATTGCATTCATTGCTCCCAACACCGTCATGGAGCAGTAAGAGGTAGACCTGGCATTTGTATCCAGATCTTCATGAATCTGGAGACCACCCTCAGAACCTCTGCAGTATTCTGCCAGTTTTGCACATAAATTAGCAGGTGGAAACCAATTATTATCCCACTCTTATAGAGCTCACTCTTGCCAGTAAATTGCTCCAGATTGGTAGGTATATTTTCCTTGTTGATTTTGTAATGAAAAAAAAAAAGCTTTTAAATTATGGAATACAAAATTGTAGCTTCAAACCTAGTTGTTGTTATTAAAGCTGTGCTGACTTTTCCACCTGTAAGTTCTGCATCCTCCATGTTTTGAGAGCTGACTCAGACACTCCTGGCAGAAAGCTGAGAGAAGTATGTTAACCATGTATGGAGAGAAATCATAGTTGTTTAAGGTGTCAGCTACTATAAAGAATGTGAATATGCAGTGATTTTATATAAGAAATAATTTTATTTTGTAAGGCAGACATGGGAATGAGTTATGTACATGCATGCATTTTAATCATTTTAAATTCTTAGCGATTTCTTTAAACTGGGGGGTACAAAAATAATCTTTCTCCCACATTTTAAGTTCTTGTGGCTGGGCTAATAATTAATATGAGACAGATTAACAGGAGAAAATGCCCCTAATTTATAAAAATATGAGACCTGAAGACACATTTGAGGTCTATGTGCCATTCTGGAAAGAGTGGAGTGAGACAGGGATCTGGGGTTTCAAAGAGACAGTAGGCAACTTACAGGTAGATGGAAAGAGGTAAACCAATACTTGATAGGCCACCTAGTCACAACTGGACAAAGAAGGATGTCCAAAAAACAGGCTTTTTTAGATTTTACTGTATCTGCTACAGTTAATTTATATTATGATGCTAAATGATGCTCCCTTTAAAAAAAGTTTCAATTGCAAGTTGACATTCATATTATTTTGTATTAGTTTTAGATGTTCAGCATAGTGGTCAGACAATTAAGTAATTTACAAAATGATTCCACGATAAGTCTAGTACCCAGATACATTCTCCTTTTGAGCATGTTTTTCTTTCTGAATTCCTTTAGGCATGTAAGGAAGAGTGTGAAAATTCTTTCTGAGTCTTCTGTTTTTTAATAACCAGCTTAAAATCAGTATTCCACAATGTATATTTTGGGGTGGCAAAATTTTATCCCTTCAAAACTAACCTCAAATATTTTATAATGTAATCCATTTTTTCTATTCTTTTCCCTTCAGTTTTATTTTCAAATAAAAGATATTTGGTAGACTTAAGTGAAAGCACAATTTGAGTTAAAGGACTTTTACTAGAATGAGCCAGAAAAGGAATATTTGATGTGGGCTGCATAACAAATGGACTTTGTTGATCTTCTTTTAACCAGTAACCATACTTTTCTTGTCTTCTCTTCTAGCGCCACATGCTGGAGTCAGCCCAGCAGAGTACTATCATCAGATGGCTCTGTTAGCTGGCCAGCGCAGCCCCTATGCAGACATCATTCCATCAGCTGCCACCACTGGCGCTGGGGCCATCCACATGGAGTATCTTCATGCCATGGACAGTAAGTGGTGGGGCTATTTTTTGTAGGAGTGGCCGATGCTAACTCATGAAATGGAGAGGAAGATGCAAAGATTAGGTAATTGTTTAATTTTACAAACCAGAGGAAGAGGAGGAACCACCAATACTTGGTGCTCTGCTTCCCTTGGTTTTCTAGGAAGCTGCCACAGATTTGGGCATCGTGGGACTCCCTGTTTAGCTTGGGAACAAATGGAAGGTGCAGCTGATTATAATTTGGCAGATAAACAAAACTATCCTGCCTTGATTGCCTTGATAACAAAATAAGGAAACATGTTTGAGTACATGAATATATTTTGCCTAGTCATTCTTTGGTTTTAAAGATTTTATGCCCTAAAAATTAATTTTAAAAAAAGACCTGTATTTGGTTTGACTTTTTTAAAATTTGATTTCTTTTGTCTCATATGTTTTCTTACATTAAAAATTATATTTCACTAAGACCTTTTACCTAGGAAAAATAAAAGCCATTTTCAAATTAGAAGACGACTGTTTTTGGTGCAAATAGTGGAAGAAAATAGGATCATTTGATGCATTTAATATCAGTTATTTTTGGGTCCTTCAAGGCTTTGATGATTCCTTTGGGTCACTTATGAGGACACATAGGCAAATGAGGCTATGATTATTACTTTCCAGAACATCCAAGAGTTCTCAGTGACATAGATTCTTTGAGCCCACATCCATCTGTCAGGTGCCAGGAAGTGACGTGGAAACATCATCCATTGTGTACATCAATGAAAGCCACTACCCTTTGAATATGTCAATGACATGACTTTGAGTAGGGCATGAGCTTGAGATTTTATTTGTTTGTTTTTCCTAGTAGCAGTGATTAACTTGTGCTTTTCCATCTGTAGTCTATTTGTATTCTTTTGTGAAAAGGGTATATATTTATCAACTCTCTGGCACTAGTTAGTAATTCAGTCCGTAGGTCTGGAGAAGGTTCACACAGGGTAGGATCTACAGCTTCAGTCTTACTTTCATCAAGTAATGTAGCCATATTACACAGTAACAGAAGCTCGCAGTGGTTTCCATTGGGGAGTTCATTACCACATATAAAGTGGGGAAAAAAAAGTATTATATGTTCTGCAGGGCCTTTGTTGTTCTGCTCTGTAGAGTGGAAAGGTTAAATTTCAGATTCATCGTAAACACATTTCAATTAGGGATTGTTGAAAACTTAGTTTGGTGTTATTATGCAAATTAGTTATTTAAAATCTTCAAATAATTAAAATAAGACAGAATCCTTGGAAGGTCATCCCTTATTACCTTCTTTATTTGATGAGAATATGTTTAGTCAGGCAATGGTGGTTTTTATCTAAATAAAGGATGAAGCTACCCTTTTACTTTGTAAAAACTAATTAAAGGAACTTTAATTCGCCTAAGTATATGGTAAATTGATTGCCATTATGTAGGAATTTAGATGTCCTATCATTCATCATATAAAAGGAAACCTCCTTTTTCTTTGTCAAAATTTTTTATTAGAATGAAGAAACAAAACAATTAACAAAGCCAAATTGAAGATATCTGCATTGGAACAATAAGAATGCGTGAGCTTGTATTTTGAAAGGGAACAGTTTTTTCAGTGAAGACCTGGACCACTTCTCTTTGAGCTGTTTTGAAAATGCTTACTTTGTCCTCTTCCCTCAACAGAGGATTCCAAATCACTGTCCCACAATGCTAACTTTTATCTTTCTTTGCTTGATTATTAGGGGATTCAGAAAAGTATCATTTGGAAAGTGCATAAACTATTATGTTCTTTCTCTCTAAAATAATTGAAATAGCATTTGGTTAAATGGCACATAAGAAGTATACATGGAATTTAGGGGATTTTTCCAATAGTGAAGTAAAACAGTTTTAAATACTGCATTGGATGCACACCTGTAGTAAGAGAGCAAACTGGGAGCTAGCTGGCTGCTCTGGCCCGTTGTTACAAATCTGGACTCCTCATTTGGCAAAAACCACAGTAAACTGGTTTTAGATGAGCATTTGATTTTAAATGTGTCAACAATGGTGTATCTGGGTTCCAGCCAACTTTGGGATAGGGTATTTCTGTGTTGCACATTAGAATTGAATATGTTTTATATCTCTAATTCTACCTTTTGAGATTCAAGATTTAAAAGACAGGAGAACAAGTAATATAATCCCTATAAGGAATATGCTAGAGATGAGGGCACCTGAAACCACATGGTTTCTATTAGTGAAAACTGACTTAAACAAGTGCCTGTCTTGGAGGGAAAAACAGAGGAGCTGGACCAGTCAGTTCAAGTGCAACCTGAGGGTCCATGGAGGAATGAAGTGAAGCCCCTGTGTTTGTCTTTGGGTGATGTGAGGAAAATATAAGGTCACTAGTGTTTTATAGCATCAGATGGCCTCCTTAGCTAGTTAGTGATTTAAAAAATTAAAGGTGTTGCAGGGATCAGGTCTTTCTAGAATGTCCTATTAATTCTAACTCTGCCAGTGATCCCTGGGGCCCAGTGAGTCCCACTGAAAAGGGTTGTTGTTGAGGATTATATGGAAGTCAACCATAAGTCTGGTTTGTCCTTGGAATCATTTGGAAGTGGAATGTATTTCTTCCTTGAAAAACTTGTATGATGAAATTAGCCTCCTGTAGTGATTAAATGTGAAACTTTTATGTGTAAGGCAGATTCCATAATAAAAGTAGGGTACTAATTCAAACACTAAAAGATGTGTACATAGTTGGGATTGCTACTGTTGTGTTTTTTTGTTTGTTTGTTTGTTTTTTTACTAACATGCCCTTAAACAGGTAATGAAACTATTCTAGATGAAGAAACTCAATTTTAAATGTGTCCAAAAGAAAAATTTGAGTAGGTAGCATATTTGTCATTCATACTGGATTTTTAGCTTTATACATGGATTGTACTAACTTACTAAGTTCCAGTTTGCGATTTACTTTTTATTAACTATAAAGTATATCTCTATTTCTATAATATTATCTATAGAGTCTTTATATTCATCTATTTCATTTTGTTAAATTAAAACATGACAGATTTTAGTCTTTTATCAAGGTCCTTCTCTAATGAAGAAAATACTACCAATAGATTTTTCTGGATACCAAGTGCCTAGACTTTTTATATAAAGAAGGCTTACCTTTTACTTCAGTTTTCTGGGTACCATAAAATTGTCATATTCCTGTAAGGAAGTATATATACCCATGCTATGACATAGGAACCCTCCATTATTACTTAAAAGGAATCATGTTTTATTTGCCTTTATCTACTAGGGTTATGTTCTCATTCTTTCAATAAACTTTAGTTGGATGACATTGTAATGTAAATATAACCTTAAGAAAGGCAGGAGTCACAGTGATAACTCTGCCCTGAAATTCAAATCTCTAATGTCTACTGAGTTGAAGGCAAATGGGCATTTATTTTTTTAACTCTCCAGTTAAGAAGTGTTGTGTTAAGTTGGCATGCATTTAAGTTGTGAGTTGTTAACTTCCAGGTTAGAACTTCATTGGTAGAATCTTCTTGAAGGTGAAAAATTCTAATAAATATAGAGAAGTAATTAACTAATAAGTCCAGAGGATTAAAATAGTCTTATCAAATCTCATTATAATACTTGCAGGGTTTTTTTCTTCCCCACCTTGGAGAATCTATAAACAAACTATATCTGGATTATAAATGTTTTTTGGGACTTACATTGTTAGGCTATGGAGAATTTAGGTTAGGGTTCCTCACTTTTGGCACTCTTAGAGTCAGATAGTTTTTCATCGTGGGGGTGGGGTCTGCCCCACACATTGCAGGGTGTTCAAGCAGCATCTCTGCCCTCTACCCACTAGATATAAGTAGCACCCATGAGGTGTGATAACCAAAATGTCTCCACATGTTGTCACATGTCCCCTGGGGAAAATATTGCCCCCCCATCTGAGAACCATTAATTTGGATAATGTATATAGGAGTTGTTTTAATAAAGCTTTAAGTATAAAATGAATCAGATAACTACAGAAATTGGTGGGAAATGAGTGCATAACCAAGCTGAATTTTTTATCTTAGGAGGCTTTAATTCATTTTTCCTTTGGCTCATTGCCTTAAAGTGGTATTTGTTGGGGTGGGGAGGGTGGTGTGTTGTGTAACTGTGGGAGCCACTGTCTTTGTTGTTTGTGGTGAATTAATGATTGGGAATATCTAAGCAGCCATCAGAGTCATAAATCACTAGAAATGAGAGGGATAACACATAAAAGTCTTTCCCTTTTGTTTAGCAATTTATCATTTTGCCTGCACATTAACAAACAGAGTTCCCCTGAGGTAAGCCCCTGGAAGATAAATATTTCTCCCTAATTTCCTCAATTGTAGCCAGTAGATCACAAGTGGGAGGAGAGTCGCTTGTCATTGCAAGTTGCCACTTCTTATCCTTCATTTCTTCCATACAGGCGAGTAGTAATAAATAACAGGTACTGCAGGTATTCAGGTTCTGTTTTGTTTATTAACAGGCACCAGGTTCCCCAGCCCCAGGCTGTCAGCCAGGCCAAACCGAAAACGTACACTGTCCATATCACCACTATCCGATCATAGCTTTGACCTTCAGACCATGATAAGGACGTCTCCCAACTCCTTGGTCACAATTCTCAATAATTCACGCAGCAGCTCTTCAGCAAGTGGCTCCTATGGTCACTTATCTGCAAGTGCAATCAGGTACGTATTTTCCCAAAGCTGTTGTATGTTTCTTTAGTAAAATGCCAGCTCTGGACTGCACCTGGATTTGCTATACTGACTATGAGGAAGAATACAGTAAAATGACACTGGGCCTAACCCAGAATGCAGATCAAATATCACTACACTAAATTTCAGATCCAATTATTGGGCCCAATTTTTTTTTTTTTGCAGGCTTTAGTCAGTAGCCCATATATAGAAATAGTAGTTACTCAGTTATGATGAAATTTACTTCATAGAAACAGTGAGTATGGCAACTCTTTTTATCCTAGCCCCTCTTACTCATAGTTCTCAGAGGAAAAACTGACTTCATACCTGGTTGTGCAACACATGCAAGAACAAGAGCCAAAAGCAAAAGACCAGGCATGGTATAGTTTCATACCTGTTACTACTGGGGAAAAGCATGTACTGTGGGGAAGAAAGAAAAGGTAACAGCAGGGTCTTTAGTCTAATGGAAAATAAATGTGGATGATACTGGAAGGCATATCTATCACAGGAAATCCAGGAAAAAAAATATTTTTAGTTGTACTAACATACCATATTTACTAAAAATGATGAATAATATTGTTTCTTCCACAGTGTTATCAATTGCAATTTTGATTCTTTTCTTGTTCAATTATCAGCAGTGCTCCTTGGCAGGCAAGTTAGTGTTTAAATATTGTAAATCCCCATTTTTATATAATGTCATTTTCTGCAACATTCCTTTGTTCTTTTAATATGGTCAATGAAATGTAGAAACAAAGTTGGAGCAAAGCAAATAACTCTGCTTATGTGATAGCAGTCAGTAGATAGGAAGGGGTCCTGGATATTTTCATAATTAGCCACGATAGTCACAAATGTATCTTTGGAGTCGAGGGTATCTGTAGTTAGATTCCAGCTTTTCTACCAACCATCTCTGCAAACCTGGCTCAGTGGTCAGCCCTCTGAAGTTGTCCACACTTGTAAACTAAAGACAAGATACCCATTGTATGGAAAAGGGCCATGTTTGATTAAAGCTGGTGTGGATTTGCAATTCCAGGATGAAGACCCCTACCCATGGGCAAAGCCTCAGGAGAACTGACCCTGGATGATATATCCAAGAGATGAGTTACCATGGCCTGGTTGTGCTACCCCCATGATCATCCTAAGTCTGGCTCTGAGACAGTATACCCACCTCAGAACTGTGACCTGGCTGTTCTGCACTCCTGACAAATATTCATGGGGTCATAGGTTGCCACTGACCATATAATTATTGTGTCGCTTGACTAGAAGCCACAGTATCAAAGTGCTAGAAATGTGGCATATGATGATATTCACACAGTCACTCTGAGCTAGCGTTTCTTGTGCTTCTTGTCAGTTTTTCTTCCCTCTTTCCCTCTGTCCAGCTGTCTAGATTTCTACAGCATCTAAAGGATTTAGATTAAAATACAGTGTGCACAATACAGCGCTGTCTTTATTTTTACCCCAGTGTCTCACTGGCTTCTTGATCGACTTACTTTTGCCCAGGTAATCTAGTACCAGTACTTGAAAGATGTCAGTATACTGCCTTGATTTCACTTTGTGTGAACTTCATTTCTTCCTTTATTTTTTTGTCATACTAAATGAGTTCTCTGAGCATCCTTATCAGCACTGTTTTGCACTCTGCTCTGATAGATTGGTTATCTCCATTTTATTTAGTTCTTTGGGGTTTTGTTTGGTTCTTTCTTTTGGACCATATTTCTTTGCCTCCTCAATTTGGCAGCCTGCCTGTGTTTGTTTCTGTGTATTAGGTGAAACTGCTTTTACTTCCTGTCTTAGTAGTGTGGCCTGTGTAGCAAAGGCAACTGTAAATTGTGTGGGGTGGAGTTTTGGTAATTGCCAGGGTAGGACAACCTGCTTCACTGCCCCACAGCTCCACTTGAGGGGAGATGGGCAGAGAGAAGATGATGCCACTGCCTGGCCTCCAGAGGTCCAACTGGTGCTCACCCATTTCTAGTCACCTCACTCACTCCCCATATGTGACTGGCGCCCTTCTAGGTACTGCCTTGGCGTTTGCATACATTCTAAGTCCATGTGGGCCCTTGATGCAGTAAAAATCTGAAAGTTTCTTCCACCACCCCACTCCCCACTGGTTTTTACAGCCAGAGGTAATGGGGGTTTATCTTCCTAGTGCTGGAACTCTGAGCTGTGCAGTATTGGCCTGGGGCTGGGCTCACTCATGCCCAGGGTACTCCTCCCAATTTTTTTTCAGCCACATGTGAATGTGGGACTGTCCATTCCACTGCTGCCACCACTTCTCTGCACTATACCACCTCTCCACCTGTTTTCACAACTCCACCCCTCCTATCCATCTGGATGAATGTGGCTTCTTTAAATCCTTGGTTACCAGACTTCCACACAGCTTGATTTTCTGATGGTCCTGGCTATTACTTGTTTATCACATCTGATTGTAATTCTTTCTATGGTTGTGCGAAGAGGTGAAGCTATGCCTCCATCTTGACAGGAGTCTAGGAAGGTTACACAAAGTGAAATAAAAAATATACAAGGAACCAACAGTAAAAGGAAGGAAGCTGGGATTCAAATCAATGATTTGGAACAAAAGGAAGCAATAAACATTCCACCAAGATGGAAAGAAAGAACAAAAATTCAAAGAAATGAGGAGACACTTAGGAACTTCTGAGACAGCTTTAAATACCAATATCCAAATCATAGGGTACCAGAAAGAGAAAAGGAAGAGCAAGAAATCGGTGAGTTATTTGAAGAAATAATGAAAGAAAATGTCCCTAATTTTGTGGAGGAAATAGACATAAGTCCAGGAAGTTCAAGAGTCCCAAACACTTTAGATCCAAAGAGGACCACACCAAGACACATTTTAATTAAAATGCCAAAGATAAAGGGAACATCTTAAAAGCAGCAAGAAAAAAGCAGAGAGTTATTTACACAGGAGTTCCCATAAGATTATCAGCTGATTTCTCAAAAGAAAATTGACAGGCAAGAAAGGACTGGCAAGAAGCATTCAAAGTCATGAAAGGCAGGGACCTACAACCTAGATTACTCTATCCAGCAAAGCTATCATTTAGAATGGAAGGACAGATAAAGTGCTTTACAGACAAGGTAAAGAAAAAAGAATTCACCATTACCAAAACATTATTACATGAAATGTTAAAGAGACTTATTTAAGAAAAACAAGAAAATTAAAACTATGAACATTAAAATGACGACAAACTCAGAACAGTCAACAACTGAATCTAAGAAACAAAAACAAACTAAGCAAACTTCTAGAACAGGAATAGCATCATAGGTATGGAGATCATTTGGAGGGTTATCAGGTGGGAGGGTGACATGGAGAAGTGGGGGGAAGGTGCAGGGATTAAGAAGCATAATTAGTTAATACAGAATAGATGAGGGGAAGGGTGTCAAAAATAGTATAAGAAAGGGAGACACGAAAGAACTTAAGTGCACAATTCATAGACAGGAACTCAGGGGGGATTGCTGGATAGAAGCATGTACCAGGCAGAGGAGAGCAAAGGGGGAAAATTAGGACAACTGTAACAGCATTATCAATAAAATATACTAAAGAAAAACCTATACTGACTTGAAATTATCATTGTCCCCTGACTCCAAGGTGCTACAAGAGTCCTTGTTATTGTCATTAGAGCTGGAATAAGAGGTCCTGAGGACCTTGTTGCAGTCAGGAGACCTGGGCCATCACAAACTCCTGTTCTTTTGTGCCTTCAGCTCTTTTCCATCTATCTTTCCTCTTGCAGTGTGACCTGTCTTTCTTTAGTACACATGTAATGTGTGTTAGGTTAATATGTAGGTTTTAATGTTTATAAGGTAGGACACATAATCCAAGAAGAGGAGAGCTTGCTATATAATATAATAATTATTATCAGCACTGCTTGCCAGTCCTTTAGCTAGAGAAATGTTAGTGCTTTGCTTCCCCTGTTTTAAGTTTCATTTTGTGAAATCTAAAAACTGTATTAAGGATGAATTGGTAAGTAGCAGGATGAGTGAAATGTCCACTCAGGATGTACTTAAGTTCTGCTATGTACCAAGAAACACAGAAGACCTGAGGCACTCTCAGTTTTTGTCTTGCAGAGGTTTTAGAAAGCAGAGTGTTGTTCTTGTTCTACCCATCAACTCAATGGGTCTTTGCAAGAGGAAGTTGACAAAGGTCATGCCTGATAGGCATTAGTATCCAGCACTCCAATACCTTGCTTTTTAATTTACCCCAAACACATTTGCCTTTCATATGTACGTGTTTTCTAATATCTAGTCTGCTTCTGGTATTAGCAATGCATAGTGTAATGATGACAGTTAAGTGTCTAAAGATGTTATTGAATGTTTAAGGACACACATTGAGTTTTCTGAAAAATGTCATGGCCATTTCCTTCATATTTGTGTATTGTTACTTTCTAAGAGTTTAATAATACCATTTACCACTATTTGAAATTCCTGTGTTTACTTATTCATCATGTAATTTACTATATGCTTCCACCTCTGAAACATAGTACCAGGAGGCTGAGAACTGTGTATGTCTTGTTCATGACCACACTCTGCGCATCACAAAGTTTGCACCCTTGACACCACTCAACAAATATTTCTTAAATAAATCAAGGAGCTCTTTAATTAGTAATTAGAATTGTAATCACCTTTATTAAAGGAATTTTTATATGATAGATGAGTAATTATGGTTTTCAGAAAGTTATAGTGTACAAAGAACATATATAAAGGACCCATGGTAATGGATAACAGGGTGCAGACTGACTGAGGGAGCTGGGGCAGGGAGTGGGCAGGGCAGAGGAGAGCAATGAGGGAGAAGTTTGGACAACTGTAATTGAACAACAATTTTAAAAAGAAGAAAGTTACATTCTATATGAGTAGTATATTAATATGTCCATATGTTGATAATTATACAGAAGTGAAAGGATGGATGCAACATAAAGGGATAAAGAAATGTCTAATTTAAGTTTATGTATGATTCTTGTGTTAAATATATACTTAATAATTCAGACAGCTAT